AAGATCTAGGTGTATTTGTTGACAACGACTTGAAACCTAGAAAACAATGTATTAGCGTTCGCAACAAGGCAAACAGGATTCTTGGGTTCATATCTAGGAGTGTGAGTAACAGAACTGCTGACGTTATCTTGAAACTTTACCTAGCATTAGTGAGGCCACACATGGATTATGCGGTTCAATTCTGGTGTCCTTATTATAGAATGGACATAGTTTCTTTGGAAAGAGTACAAAGAAGAATGACAAAAATGATCCATAATATTAGAAACCTTCCATATGAAGAAAGACTGAAAAGCTTAGGCTTGCATTCATTAGAGAGGCGTAGAGTTAGGGGAGATATGATAGAGGTGTTCAAGTGGGTAAGTGGGATTAACAAGGGTAAAATGGAAGATGTTCTGAAGCTCAGTAATAACGAAATAACTAGAACAAATGGCTTTAAATTAGATAAATTCCGATTCAGAAAGGATATAGGAAAGCACTGGTTTGGTAATAGAGTTGTGGATATGGAACAGGCTACCGAGTGCTATAGTGGGAGGAGATCTGGGACGCTTAGAGCTTCTGGGCGATTTGCTGGATAGGCACATGGAAGTGCTGATGGGTGTGAAAGGATCTGTTCTGTATGGCCAGTCGGCCTCCTGCAGTATCCCACTTTCTTATGTTCATATAATATAGTTCTGCTATAACGCCGCCAATTGTGTTCTTGTAAACATCGCGGTTATAGAAAATCGCTACTACAGAAATAATAGGCTTATGGAGAAAATAGGGTTAGGTGCAGATTACTCGAAATCGAAAAAATTTAGTAGTTAGCCTAACACAAAGGATAGCACAGTCGAAATAAATGTTACATTCATATCTAATAATGAAATTATACAGTAAATGTAACACTTTACCTTGAAAAAATATGAATGTAACTTGATGGGGGAGAAGGGTGATTTTGAGGTTGATAACATCGAGCTTCTCTTCAAGTGTTATATCCTTTCTTTTACGATCATCACCGGGAATTCTATCACCAGAACGCTTCTTGGAGATGTTCTTCTTTACCATATTCACAATTAATACCACAAAATTGGAGAAATAGTAAGCAAAAATCGCGTTATAGCAAACAAGCGTTCGCGTTATACAAATATCGTTCCTAATTCATAAATCGCGTTAGAGCAAATTCGCGTTATAGCAGAACTCACTGTATATATATATATATATATATATATATATATATATATATATATATATATATATATATATATATATATATATATATATATATATATATATATATATATATATATATATATATATATATATATATACTGTGTATATATATATATATATATATATATATATATATATATATATATATATATATATATATATATATATATATATATATATCTTGATAAAATCACACGGGAAAATGGAAACAACGGACTACCTTAGCTTTCGTCTTTATTCAAGACATCTTCAGAGGCAACTGGATTACATGGACAGAGAGAGGCTTAAATATACAGGGTGACCTTAAAAACATGAGGTCAGGTCATAATGATGTCATCCACTAATACCCACACCAACACACACGTAGAGGAGCTTAAGAGAAGGGGGGTGACGTGACTAGTCAGGTCAGGTCAAAAATAAGGGACCCACAAAATAACTATCATACATCTAGATCAAAGGTTTTCATAGCATTTTTAACCTTGGGCCACTGACAAATAAATTTATGTAACATATCAGTTTTGGACTGACCATCACTAAGGTTTATTGATTTTAATTCCTTAATCAAACTATATATATATATATATATATATATATATATATATATATATATATATATATATATATATATATATATATATATATATATATATATATATATATATATATATATATATATATATATATATATATATACTATTTTAGTCCATATAACACGGATTCTTGAACATATAATCAACTTAATTTCACTAAAGGAATCAACCTCGAATTTGGTGTGATTAGGAAATTCACTGCTAGGCCACAAGGACACTAAAAGCAGTTCTAGACTCTGTTATATTTCACACAAAGCCTGTTCATCGAGCTGATGGCGCCGTGAACCTCAATGGGAAACTGCCCGTGCCTCTTATGTGGTGTCAGTAGCATTTTACCGAATCCAGCTGGTATGAAACGCGAGGTACATATATATACTTCATTTTTAGTCCATATAACACGCGGACTTTGAACATATACTCAACGACCTCACCAGTGTTATATGGACTAAAAATGAAGTATATATATGTACCTCGCGTTTCATACCAGCTGGATTCGGTAAAATGCTACTGACACCACATAAGAGGCACGGGCAGTTTCCCATTGAGGTTCACGGCGCCATCAGCTCGATGAACAGGCTTTGTGTGAAATATAACAGAGTCTAGAACTGCTTTTAGTGTCCTTGTGGCCTAGCCGGTAAGCGTTCCCTAGTCACACCCAGTAGGTCGAGGGTTCGATTCCTTGCTGGTGAGGTCGTTGATTATATATATATATATATATATATATATATATATATGCTGATAACCACAAGGAAAAAAGAAAACACGAAGTTCCCAAGCGCTTTCGTGTAATTCACATCTTCAGGGGTGAGTACAGACTAAGAAGAAGTACAGAACATGTTATATTTATACAGAGGAGGGTGAGATCAAGTCCACAGTGGTCCGGTATTGGTAATAAGAACATAAGAATGGAGGAAACTGCAGCGGGCCTATTGGCCCATACTGGGCAGTCCCGTTTACACCCAACCCCTATTGCTCATATAAGCATCCAGCCTATGTTTGAAGCTATTCAGCGTATTCGAGTTAATGATGATATTTGGTAACTTGTCCCATTCATCCACTACTCTGTTTTCAAACCAGTGTTTACCTATTTCACGCCTAAACCTAAATTTGTCTAATTTAAAACCATTGTTACGAGTTCGCTCCTGGTTGGATAGTTTGAGTACCTTTGTAATGTCCCCTTTGTTTAGCCCTGCCTTCCACTTATACACCTCTATCAGGTCGCCCCTCGCTCTACGTCTCTCGAGGGAGTGCAAATTAAGATGCTTTAACCTGTCTCTATACTCAAGGTTCCTAATGCCCCAGATTAGTCTTGTCATTCTCCTCTGAATTCTTTCCAATGATTCTATATCCATCCTGTAATACGGTGACCAGAACTGAGCTGCGTAATCCAGGTGAGGTCTCACAAGCCCAAGATACAGTTTTAGGATGACCTCGCTTGTCTTGTAACTAACACTCCTTTGTATGAACCCAAGTACTTTATTAGCCTTGTTACGTGCAAAAACACATTGTTTACTTGGCTTAAGGTTCCTACTTATCATTACTCTTAAATCTCTCTCACAGTCGGATTTCTCTATGGCATCGTTGTTCATCTGGTATCTGGTTTCCCTACTAATCTTCACAAAAGCACCCAGCGATAGGTAGTCAGGTCAGAGTGTAAGCTGCCCCAACCTTTAGCTGTAGTAAAATTAATGTAAAAAAATTAATATGGTTGTTTGAAGTACCTGTAATGTTATTTAATGTTAATAAATGGAACAATACAAGTAGCTAACCATTAATGGTAAAAAAAAAAGTGAGACTGCGCGTATGTAAGTGCGCACATATGAAAACATATCGTCATTACTCTACATAAGAATATGAAAGCAACACTTATTTACTGCTCATATATATTGAAGGGTTAAATGTTGTACTCTGTATAGACAAGGAGAGAGAGAGAGAGAGAGAGCAGCCGAACTGCCGGATGTAAACAAACCTTAATTTCCCGCGGCTTGTTTTTTTTTTTGTTTTTTTTGTTTTGTTTTTTTAAAGGGGATTATCCCACCCAGGCATAAGTCACTGACCCACATTGGGGCCTGAGGGGCAAAAATTTAATACTCCTGTAATAATAATAATTCAAATAAGTAAAAAAAAAAAAGGCAAGCTGCCTATCTACCTATTGGACAAACTAAAATCGTTCCGGACCACAGAATGCCGGACTAGAGAGGTACAACATGTAATAATTTGTGACTTTACTTCCAGTAGGTTCTGGACCTTGGCAAGGAGAGGTGTGCACTCTGCTGTACCACACATCTTGCCTCACTTGTACTGCTGTACTAGGCTTCTCTTCTCCAATATCAGGATGGCAAGTGATTCACAACACAACTAAAGGAAGCAGGTGATACAGCCCAGACCCAGCCATCCACCCCTCCTCTCTACCTCAGGTAAAGAATATAACAAGTTCAGTTGATGTAAAAATATACAAAAAACAAGATACCACATATAAAATTGCCTCGGAATGATCACTTACAGGGGAGTAAAGTTTACTTTATCATCCTGTGTCAAAATGAACTTTTCCAACACTCTGATTGGAATTTCTCTGCCAGTTTATCCTTAAAACCAAAGGCAAACAAATTGCTCTGGGATATTCAATGACCATACTAGATTTCTTGGTGCTCTAAATTTCAAGACAAAATAGAAAGTAATGGAGAAATTATACTTAAATATATATATGAGAGAAAATGTGTAAAGGGTCGAGAATATTGAAAGGGGATTATGGGGCTAGAATTGATGTACAGTCTTGGTCAAAAGTGTTGAACACTTGACAGTATTTGGCATGTAAGTACCGAAGATCTTTGGTATTAAGTAGAGTTTAATCCTATTTTGTGGTTCAGGCATAATATGATAGTACTGTTGTGTTATTAGTACAGTATATCCCAATCATATAACTCAAGTAGATGACAGATATTGCCAAGTGTTCAACACTTTTGATCCTGACTGTACCTATGATCCTTTATTGATGACAGGAATATCATAACAATTGACCAAAGTTAAAAGCCCCAAAACTGGACTCTGGCCGTAACTACTTATAACTTCTCAACCAATCGTTTAATACATCAAATTTATAACACCAGAAATAATTATTGGTCATGTTTATGCTTGACTTTAATTAATTCAGTAAAGTACATAAAGTTACCTACAAGATGAGTATGTTTAGTAAATAATAAAGTACTCTTAGCAACATTCACTTGTAATACTGTGACTGACCCACTCGAGGAATTCATTGACGTAAAGTTAGTGGAAAGTAAAAATATTCATCACAAATCAATAAGTTCTGGGTCAAGTCATTGAAAGAAAACATTTAAAATATATTAACAAAACTATGAACCAAAGATACAGGAAATATTGTAGTTAAGCATCAATAACTATTATGGTTAAACTGAACTCACTTGTGGGTAAGTTTTGTAATGAAAGGTTTTTGGTTTTTATAGTTTAGTTAATATGAACCATAACTTGTACACTTAGGTTAAGTTGCTGTACAGTTACTGATAATATTCCCTAGACACTTGTTCTCAAGGATCATTTGGTGAAAAATTCAAATTAACAAAAATTCTTATTTTTCTATCGAGTTTATAAATTTGGTTCTGTCAAGTGTTAAGGAATTTTGTCTAAAACACTACAGTTCATTTTGTCATTACTATATTTAAAACATTTTTATGGTTAAAAAATTTGAATATTAATTTTACATTTTATTGTGTACAGAAGTGTTGTTCTGAACACTGGAGTGCCGTGCTGCCCTAGACTGTGCTTACTGGCTACTGCCTTGGACTTCCCTGTACTTGCTTGCTGGCTGCTGCCCTGGACGGCTCTGCTCTGTGCTCGCTTGCTGGCTGCTCCCCTGGACGGCTCTGCTCTGTGCTCGCTTGCTGGCTGCTCCCCTGGACTGCTCTGCTCTGTGCATGCTGCCCTGGCCTGCAAATTTATAGAGCCATTAAGTTTCCATTAATAAATGTCTAAATGTCATTACGTCTTTATTAACCTTTTCTAGCATTTACAATATTTTCAACTTTTACAGAAAATTGACTAAGTTCAGCTTCAGATTTTGAAGCAAAATAATTTAATGAAATACTTGAAAAAATATCTTAATTCATTATATACAAATATAATATAAATGAAAAATATATATAAACTTGAAAAATAAAAAATATATACATACATATATATAAAAAAATATATATAAATAAAATATATAAATAAAAAATATATATAAATAAAAAAAAAACCTAAAAAAATACAGAAATAGCTAAAAATTGGCATTTTTTATGAAAAAATGGCTAAATTTGAGCAAAAAATGGCAGAAAATTTGCCTTTTTTTACCCTTAAGTGTTTTTTGAGTTTGCCATTGCCAGGACTAACGTTGAAAAAATTTGGTAAATGATAATCGGAAGTCTCCGGAGGAATGCCTTCAAATCATCATTCACCAATAATATTAAAAAATACAAGCATAACGGACTACCTGGCCGTGGGAAGAGTAACTCAGTAGGGGCCCAGTGAGTTACTCTCCCCACGTCCAGGTAGTCGGTTATGCCTTATAATACACAGATGCCAAGCTAGAGCTCGTAAGAATGGCACAAATGTTTTACCTCTAAAACCACACAAAAATTTATTACTCAAAATATGCCCAGGAATATTTTTGGACTTAGAATATTTTTAAACAATGAATTTATGGACTTAGAATATTCTAAACGATGAATTTTTAGACTTAGCAGATTTTTAAAGATGAATTTTTGGACTTATAGAATATTTCAAATGATGAATTTTTGGACTTAGAATACTTTAAACGATGAATTTTTGGACTTAGAATATTTTAAACGATGAATTTTTAGACTTTCATTGAATAGGATCGCTGTAATTCGTACTTCGGTTTAATTCGTATGTTTCTCAAAAAATTAATTGAACGATTTGAATTTGGAATGAATATGAAATAACTGAGTGGTTCAAAAAGTTGCCTTGGCTGTCTCATACAATATCATATTTATAATTATTGTGCAAATATAAATAGTTATAAAATGTACTTACAATAATAAAGTAAATAATACAGTAATAAATAATGAGAGGTGAGATCGTAGATGATATTCCATAAGTGTAACGGCCACACTGGTAAATGAAGTAAAAACCCTCATTGGAGAAATATAAGATGAAATTTTGGAGCTGATTTGACTATAGAGCATTTTTTATCAGATGAGAAGAGATGCCTCGCCCCCTCCTCAAGAGTTACACCTGATTGGCTGTTGCAAATCTGCCCGATTTCCTCCTAAAGTAATGATGTATTTCTAAATGAATTTTATTTTTGAATTTTTTATTTTGATTGTGTGCTTTCTCAAGGACTGAAACTGTGCCTACAATACACCATTCACAGGGAGATACAGTGTACGCAGTCGCAGACGACAACTCTATAGGCAACAGAAAGTAGCTAAGAACTTTTTCTCTCTTTATTTTTTTGAAATAGGTGTAGATTTATACACAGTCTGCACCCCCCCCCCCCAACAACAACAACCATGAGTTTGATATGTGATTACTGCAGGGAGACATCGCATATGGAGGATATAGGCCTGACTAATGCAACGTTTAGGAAGTTACTAACTGCCGTAAAGCATGATGGCTGTTGCTGGTATTGCCCTGGCTGCATAGTCAAGGTGAATGAAGCGATTGCAAGCCATAAGGGAACGAGTTCTCTAGGGACGAAAATAGATGAAGCTGAAGCCCTGCTGGTTGCCAAACTGGAGCAAGTTGGGAAAGAGATCCTTGATAAGACTGAGGAAGTAGCCGATAGAATGGAGGTGATTCCTAAGAAGAGTTATGCTGACGTATTAGCCGGGCCACGGGAGGGGGCGGAGAGTAATGCAGGATCAGAACAGGTTCTACAACAGCTTGGGACTCTGAAGAAGTGTGTCGAAGAAATGAAAATTAACGGACCTACTGTTAGGGCAGAGGAGGAACACCAGGAACGTCTCCAGCGCAGGAACAATGTAATAGTTTTTGGAGTCCCAGGGAGCCAGACGGAGGGAACTGTGAGTAAGGAAACACACGGTAAGGTGCTGTTTCAAAATATTTGTACAGAGGTTCTGAAGATTCCATCAACCCCTCAGGATGTGAGGAGGCTGGGACAAAAGCAGGGGGCTAAGCCTCGCCCCCTCAGCAACACACTAGTGAGTGAGGAGGAGAAATGGCAGGTTATTCGGCAGGCAAAAAACTTAGCAAGGAGCGAGGCATTTCGGGATGTATTCATTCACCCAGATCGCACGGTAATGCAGAGGGAACAGCACAAGAAGCTCCAGCAGGACTTGAAGTAGAAGAGGAAGGAGTCGAGGAGGAATGGGGACAGGTGTACATGGGTTATACTCAGGGGGAGGGTAGTGGAAAAAAGTGTGCCGACACAGGGCCATGGGGCAGCAGTGCACCCTCCACCCACTCAACCCCCCACCCGGGAGGCGGCACCAGCTCAGCCTACCGGACAGGAGGAGGCAAGCGCCGTGTAAACAATGACATTTCTAACCACACCCTGCAAAATACAGTGTACTTAGCAAATGCTGCAGCTTCTGAAAATGGGGGGGAGGGGGAGCGGGTTTATTACTAAGAGCAGAGACGTTACCGAGAACAAATTCTGACTTGAATGTCATGTACACTAATACTAACACGTTCCTTGATATGAGAGAGGAGTTTGAAACACTACTAAGAGTACACCAACCAGATATTGTAGGAGTTGTAGAACTGTTGTACAAGAACAGGAGAATCGACCCAGAGGAATGTGAGTTCAGTATTGCTGGATATGACTCATTTACGAACCTTTCTCAAGAAACTTGCAAGAGGGGTGTGGTTATCTATGCTAGGCAAGACCTTAGAACCAGCCAGGCGAGGGTACAGGGAGAGGATGTTTTTGAAGAGTCCAAGTGGTGTAAAATTAAATTAAAGGGAGGGGACTTACTTATCGTCGGGTGTATCTACAGATCCCCAAACTGTGGCCCACTAAATCAAAGGAACTTAAGAACCTTAATAAACATTGCCGCAATGCTCAACCCTTGCCACCTCCTTATCATGGGGGACTTCAACTATGGCGACATCGACTGGAGAAACGAGTCCACCCCGAATGACTTGAATAACCCTGCTACTCCTTTCGTAGAAACTCTGAGAGATAATTTTCTGTTCCAACATGTTAGAGACCCGACACATTACAGAGGAGAGCAAACACCCAAGCCACTTGACCTCATCATAACAAACGAGGAGGGTATGGTGGCCAAACTGGAACACCTTGCCCCAGTTGGCACCAGTCACCATACAGTGTTGTCATTCAGATTTAACTGTTACCTAGTTCAAGATAAGGCCAGGCCAAGGTGCAAATATTACAAGGGAAATTACAATGGGATGAGGGAAGAGATGAGGGGTCAACTGGCCTGACTTATTAAGGTACAAGAACGCAGACACTACGCTGAATATCATAACTAGTAAAATGACCCATTTGATCGATAAATATATACCCAAGACCAAACCCAGTGCTTCTAGGAATACGAGGGGATCCCTACACATGAACCATGCGGCGGTCGACAAAATTAAGAAGAAAACCCAGAAATTCAAGACGTGGGTTGGGTCAAACGATGAGCAAGACAGGAGGATGTATGCAAGAGCCAGAAACCAAGCAAAGATAGAGTGTAGGAGGGCTGAAAAGGAGTTCCAGAGGCTGGTTGCACGCGAGGTCAAGTCAAACCCAAAGGCGTTTTACCGCTATGCAAAGTCGAAATTGAAAACGCGAGTAGGAGTATCAGACCTGAGGCTTGAAGATGGTAGTTACGCAGATTCTGACCAGGATAAAGCTGAGGCATTGAACAGCTTCTTTTCCTCAGTGTTCACAAGAGAGGATGCAACTAACCTTCCTGCGTTTGAGGACAGACGGTTCGACACAGCACTGACCCACATTGTATTCACAGAAGAGGGTATTAGAAATAAACTGTCCAGGCTAAAGGTCCATAAGAGTCCCGGACCTGACATGGTGCATCCTAGAGTGCTAAGAGAGCTGTGCAACGAGCTTGCAGAGCCCCTGAAGATCCTGTTTTGTAAATGCCTGGATGAGCAAATGGTCCCCAGTGAATGGAAAGTGGCTTATGTGAGTCCTATCTTCAAGAAGGGCGATCGTCACTCCACAAACAACTATAGACCGGTGAGCCTGACCAGCATAATATGTAATGTAAAAGATTGCCAACACGGTTTTATGCCGGGGCGTTCCTGCTTAACACAATTGCTCAAGGTATTGGATATTCGGACCCATATTCTGAAACGGGGTGGTAATATCGACAATATTTACCTAGATTTTGCCAAGGCTTTCGACAGTGTATCCCACGAAAGGCTGAAAATCAAACTGGAAGGGTACGGAATTCGGGGAAATGTCCTAGGTGGATAGAAGACTTTCTACATGACCACAAGCAGTGTGTGGTGATTAATGGTACGAAATCGTCATCTGTACCTGTCACAACTGGGGTACCACAGGGCAGTGTATTGGGCCCGCTATTGTTTGTTTGTTTCATAAATGACATGCCTGACGTACACTCCTCCATACAAATGTTTGCCGATGACGCTAAGTCATTTCAGGAAATTAAGAACCAAGCGGACTGTGAAGAGCTGCAGAAGGACCTCTGTGGGCTCCAGGAATGGTCGAAGAAATGGCTGCTGAGATTCAATGTCACATAGTGTAAGAGGATGCACCTGGGACGTACCAACGGTAAGGAGGCGTAGCATATGTCCCAACGGGATGAAGAAACTGCACTAGTTGAGACTGCGTGTGAGAAGGACCTAGGTGTGTATTAGGGTGTGTCAATTTAGGGGGTGAACTGGCTAAATTGAAAATCGAGTAATTTGGTAGCAATTTATTGTAGTCTTTAAGCATGCAAAACAATATTCTGGCATAAATTTTTTTTTATAATAAGTCCTACCTACATCAAATGGATTTTTAAATGTACATATTTGTGAATTTA